TTTGTTAGTAGTCTTTACCTGTTCACGTCGTAGTTATCAAAGCTTATATCATCCGAGTCAGAAGAATCACTACAAAGTACTGGTGGTTCCATTCGTCAAGTCTTCAACCACTTGACGGCCATTCCTTGTAAGAAGTATTATAATCTGTTTCATGGTCATCACCTGAAATATATACATATATATTTTAACAAGCTTTTTTTTATCCTTAACATTAGAGGGTTGAGTAAGTATTGAAATTTCAGACGATTTTGGTAATTGACTTTTAATATGGCTTAAGACTGTTAAGAGGGCAGCTTGATTTTCGCCTCATGTAATGGAACGGGAAAGACAATCTTGGACCATGGATTCCACGTCGTGGATTCCAGATTCTACTTTTCGTCAGTGGAATACGGCGATTCTATCGTTAGCGGGATTCCGAATTCCAGCAGCTGTATTCCGGATTCCAAAGCCCAGGGTTGCGGATTCTGCAAGCAAAAATTTCCCGGATTCCGGAATACGGATTCCCTCACATGGGTTGGGGGAGGGGGGGACGATTGACTATTGCTGTTTTAGGTTAATTCTGTGTTAAAGTCATTACTTAGCGCCTTTACCAATACAAAAGATGCCTCTGTAGCGTTATGAAGAAGATATAAAACAAATTCCAGCAGGAAGCAGAAACCATAATAATTTTTTGGTCGACTTTGCAGGGATAGCAATAAAACTTGAAAAAGTTGGCCAAACTTTTTAATGTTTCAATCCATGACCATCCTCGCCATCGGTTGCAACAGATGATAGGAAACAGTTTCAATGCCCAGATATAGTCTTTAATGACAAAACTGGACCATTATTTTGGAATTCAATAGATACAAATTTTTTTTTAGCTTTTTAAAAAGCCGAATAGTAAATAGCGTGACCTAGCCCCTTTAAGAACCCCGTTATAACTATACAATCCTTAATTAGCTGATTTACTAAGAACACTGCCAAGAAAGCCATTTTGGTAAATAAGCGCTATTCTGTCATCAACGGCGACTTTTAGTTAAAAGCTTTTCGGTGAACCATGGCGTTTCTGTCCTAAACAATTAGTCGTGCGCAGGTGGTTATTTTCAAATCAATCTTTTGCCCACCTGCTGACACACTTGGTACCCATGCTATGTCATATATTTAACCCAAACATAAGTCACTCAAACTAAAAAAGAATCATGCTAGTTGGGTCAACAAATAAGAAATATATGTGACGAAAAGACCCGAGTCCTGAGTTCTTTTCTTCAAGAGAAAGCAAAACAAGCGCTTTGAGTTTGTTTTGTTTTATCCTTAATATTCAAAACAAAACAAGTAATGTTAAATCATTAATGAGAGGACAGAGATTTATCTCGATGTTAGTTTTACAATCCTTGTAGTTTTCAATCTGATTCGCAACCTTCTTCTGATTGTATTTTTACTGAAAGACTGTTTTAATTAAATTACAGAACTTGTTAAGTATGCGGTGGGTAGGAAGTGTAATGAGAAAAAAAAGAAAAGGATATTGTTGGTTTACAATATGTTATAATATTTTCCATCAACATGGAGGCGGTTATTAGTTAAGATAATTATGAAAATCAAGGCTCCAAAAATTAAGCAATTTGAAATTTTTCGTCCAACTTGCACTTAACCGAATTTAAAGTAAAAACGGTTTGCTCTTTCAAAGGAATAATGCTAGTACTGGAATGAATTTCGGTTAGTTATTAATCAAATTAATTGGAAGTCCTGGAGCGGGTATATAACAAATGAGGAATATTATTGTTTCTTTGCTTACCTTGGAAACGAATCTTCGATAGCAATCACCTTTGGTTCCCGAAACAAAGACAGCTACGCCAAACCTTAGAGTTACTAAACTTTTGAGCTAATTTTAGATGCTTTGTTGCTCTTTGTAGCATTTGTTCTCTTGATCGCATACATTGACGTTACTTTCATGATTAACGGGAACCTGAAAACCAGGCAAGCGTAAACATGATCATGATGGACATAAAAGTCCTTCAGTTAAGCGATAATAACATCATGGCATCAAAAAAACAAAATTCGAGATATTCTTGCAAGTTGAAAAATAGTTTTAAAAAGCTGACGAGCGAGACCTTTACATTGTCTGTGGGCAAAGGACACACAAAGTTCTATGGCTTTTGCTAGGCCGCTGACCAGTATTTATTACGTATGAATATTCACTACTCAGAGACATTTCTAGAAAGCTTTTTCCCGTTTATTATGAATTATAAAGCATTTTTTCACTTCGAGAAACCACTAATTAATACAGTTAGTGTAAGTGATAGATAAGAAAGCTCCTTCTGTCAACGCAAGGGTCGATTTAGGGTAGGCCGAGGGAGCCGCGGCCATCACATTTCCTTTGAAATTTTGTATTGTTTTTTAGAATTCTCAGAAAAATAAAAAGCATCTATATAGCTGGCAAATGGACAAGTGTCCCGGCCACCCCTTTCTCAATTTTCTAGATCCGTCCCTGTGACTGGTATTCAAGCTTTTTTCTAGGAAGCTACTCTGACGTGCGCTTTTTACGCTCATATCAATGCTGCGTATCATAACAATTTTCAGGGCATATAATTACAACAAGATTTAAAAAACCCCTCTGAAAGGGGACGAGGAACTGGACCTTCCCACAACCATTTACAATCTTCTCCTCTGAGAGTACGTAACGACCTTTCTCTTACGTAACCTGGCATTTCACATGCATCGCTGATGATGTTTGAGCGATTCCAAAGAAATATTCGATTTTTGTCAAATTTTCCTCTGAGTCTTGAAATTTGTATACAAAAGAAATTTTAAACCAAGTTAAAAATAACCTTCTTAAAGGTTGAAATAGTGAGCTAATATCTTTCGAATTACAACCCAATCACTTCCTCTACTGGCAATGCTCCGAAAATTAATAAGATCTTACCAAATTTTAAAAAAAAATCTAACGATTTGGTTATTCTACAAAAAAAAAACAAACAAGCAAACCAACACTACTGCATACTTGTAAGTACCAGCACAAAACTGTTTAAACGCTACAAATTGCACATTTAACTGAAGCTTTAACAGAATTTTCCTTGGGCGGACGCTAAACTTTGTAATTGTTACTACGTATGCGCAGTGGTCTCAAAACATTGTTCTAAATTCCGGGTCGCTTATAGCGCCGAAATCTTTGTTCTGGGCCCCACCAGTGTACCAGGATTTGAGTGCTGCGCCATGAAAAGCAATTTTCGATTTGCCAATCAGGTTGAAAGGAAATTTGAAATATATTTCAGGTAATTCTTTGATTCCGTTGAGGGCCCAGAACAAAGATATCGGCGTGGCTTCGCAGACGGGGCGGGGAGGGGGTTAACTAACGACCGGGGTTAAATAACGTCTGCAACGCAGGCTATCACATTGGCCATAATACACTTTTTATTACGTCAGTAAGTGTTGGGCCAGGGGTAGGGGGTGAGTACGCCCTTATATAAGCTCTGATAAGCTATATAGGTATGTATACCGCCCTATCGGATAGGGTTTCTGCGCCGTTTTCGTCTGAAAACGGGTATGCACTTTGCCCATTTTGGTCTGGAATTGGGTATAGTTTTCGAGGGAACTTACGGAGTGTATGAACGTATTTATCGTTTCAATTCCAAATGAGTAAGAAAGAAAGAGAAATATCCGAATTTGAAATGGATTGGAAGAAATTTTTTGTCTGCGCTCTAATCTAAGTAATGATGACATAATTTGTGCCTAAAGGCCAGGTCTGAAAACTGGTATGGATTTTGGAGGTCTGATCCGAAAACAGGTGTGGAAAAGTACATTTTTTGGTAGGGTCAGGATTTGGAGAACCGGGTGGCACACCCTACCAAGAATTCCCAGGAGTACCCCCGGGGTGCCGGGATGCAAAGGATGGTTTAAAACTCCTAACAGGGCCATGTTCGTGTTCACTGATTCGCCCTGTGGCAAAATGGTTACTCAAGGACACAATAAAGCCCAAGGTACTTGATTCCTATAACGGCACATCATGCACTAGCATTCTTACAGCGTGTCGCAAAAATTCTGGATTAAACACCAGAAGTGGTGACTGATATCTTGTCATCATCATCAGTGCAGATTCCCAAATTTGTGATCAAAGGCGATCAATGAAAAATTTACAAGGAAAAATCTTTAAGTAAAACATGGCAAAAGGAAGGTTATATTTTTTATCCAAATTTGAGCCATAAACTATTTCAGTGTAGTTATGAGTAGGGACCACAAGAGAGTGACGTTGAAGTAAAAACAACTTGACACAATGACAAGTACGCAAGCCTTCACAAAGACATTGGTCACTCTTAAATCTTTTTACAGCATACAAAAAATGCGGATATAAAAAACGAATTTTATAACACAAATTTAACCTAAAAATGCAGTAAAGCTCACTCTTTCTTATTTTTCCACCTCTTTGGGCACTATGAACTGTAATAACGAGAAACACTGGCGCGAAAACATTTTGAAAAGTTACAGAAAATCAAAAAAATGCCTCAACAATTTACAAGCACAAACAAATGTTCGTTATAAATTCCTAAATCAATTAAGTGAAATGTTCGCATGTAAATCGTTTTAGTATTAATTTTAATTTAAAGTCAAATCGTCAAAGTTTATGTTTGATGACACCTCTATCGACTGCTTGACAGAATGCAGAAGATTTAAATGTGAAGATGATCACACGCAGTTCGAAGAGAAACTTAGTTCAACTTATGCAGTTCCTAAAAGAAAGCCAGAATTTGTTTAGGCTTTCTTTTCACAAATGCATAAGTTGATCTGAGTTGTGTGTTGTATGCTAACGTGCGTGCTTACTATTAACATGTCATGTATAATTTAAAGTAGGCGCGTCCTCTAATCCACAACATTACATTACAATAAACTGCGATGATCTTCTTGAGATTTATTTCTTTACCCTACAGTATGAGATTCATACATTCATTATTTCAGGATGTAGATTGTTGTTCAGGTTCGTCATAGTTTCTTTTAGCCTGACTTTATTTATTGATTGTTGTCCCCTTAGCTTATGTTGTATTCTCAGACACGGAATCTCCTCCGATCGCCGCCATGCCAAGATCAGCCTCTTCTCCTGTTTCTTTCTCTATTTTCTTTAACTTCTTCATCAACACTCCTTCAAGAGATTTAAGAATTTTCTTCTTCCAGGGGATATTTTCCATCTGAAATCTCTCACGAGTTTCTGCGATCTTTTTAGCCAGCTGATGTAAAGAGTTATATTGCGGCTTCCTAGGTGAAAGAGGTGAGTGAAAACTGGACTGTTTCTCTTTTGTTTTTTCACTCTCCTTTGACTTTTCGAATTTAGCAACCGTTAGGAGTCCAGATTTATTCGCGCTTGTTCTTGGAAGAGAGGAATTTAATGTCGATGCTGGTTGTTCGTTTGGTATCGTCGTTTTATTAACTTTGGGTGCTATTCTTATTACTGATGGTACAGAGGGTTGTGAAGATTGGGAGATTTTCACATTTGCATTGCACTGTCTAGAAGTGTGTACAAATGATGGAGTATTACAACGGTTGAAAGATTGTTGGGTTCTAACAGGACTGCTTGAAACATGAAAGCTGGGATTGGGCTGTTGCTTTGCTCTGTTACTGTGTAAACAGTGGGGACTTGCACTAGAGTGCTGCTCATTATGCGCAGTGAATGAGCATTTGACCTCTGATTGCAGCTTTGTGTTTATATCCCGTGACACAAACTTTTGTGGATTTAAAATTTGCTGTTTTCTCTGAGCATTAGGCGAAGTAGGTTGAGTATTGCTTGGTAAAGGGGTCTGCTGTACACTGTACTGTTTCGTAAGGCAAGTTTCAGCTAGTTGATTCTCTTGTGAATTCTGCGGTGAAACTGTAGGACTCGCCCTGGAGTTTTGGATTGGCTGCGTATAAGGTGAAAGGCGGTGATTGAACACATTTGATGCCAAGTTGCGTTGTGTAATCTGAACACTGGTGCTGCATGGTTGTGATTCCTGTACAGCGCTAGAATTGATAAGCCCAGCATTGAGTGACTGAAGTTCCTGTCTGTGGTATGCTTGGCCGGTTGCTTCATTACAGGGACTAAAGCAGGGAGAAGATAACTGAAATCCCTGTGAACTTTGAGAGCTGTTGTATGATGGTTTATCCTGAAAACTGGGCACAGTTTGGTGTGTCTCTCCATTCCAGTTGACATAGTGTCTGTCAATAGAGCAATGAGCTGCGTTCTCATTGCTGAATTGTGTATTTCCCATTGCCTTCTGAATGTCATACGCCCGAGATGTATTGAACGAATTAGTGAGGTCAACATGGTTTTTTCTGGTGTCCTCTGCTACTTTTAGGTCAACACTGGCTCTTCCTTTAGGTGAATCTTGAAGAACAGTACAAGGATGAACACAGCGTTCTATGAGACTTTCATGAACCTTTTTAGAACCTTGTGTATTGTGTGAGTGTAACTGAGTAGACGGATTGATAGACGCATTGCTCAATGTTTTGGAATTCATGTTTGAACCTTGACTTTGAAGTAACAGGGCTCGTAGCGCTGAGTCTTGTTCTGCTTTCTTTATCGTATTTTGATCACCTTGAATTGGATTCGTTTTCTCTTTTGTGTTCTGCAAGTTACCTTTGTGGCCTAAAATGCAGTAACACCGCTGACCATTCGCAGCAGCTCCACACACTTTCTTGTGCTCTTCATCGAGTATTTCAACATCAGTTTGGCTTATTTGAATGTTGCAACTATAATACTCCGCGATTTTTTTCCGGATGTCAACTTCAGCAGTTGTTTCTCCATTGTCAATACTATCACTAATAAGCTTTCCGCCTTTAAAACGCCATAGATAATTAGCCTTTGTTTCTTGACTTCGTACAGCATCGGTAATATTTGTTCTTAGCTGACAGACTTCTTTTGAAGGATGATGTGATTGAACAGATCCGTGGTTTACTTTGCCAAGAACATTACTTCGAGACGCCTTGACCAATAGTGTTGGAGGTTGTTTTCCTGAAGGCAGCAATTTGTTTTGATTTGGTGTTGAGGCTTCTTGTGAAATTCGTAGCAGAGTTAGAGATGCAGTGTTTGTTCTTTTAACTCTCTCCTGTTCTTGCAACAGAGAATTTGACAGTCTCTTTTGAGAAGCCTCTAAAAGATTCATGTTAACATGTTTTTCATTGTGCCAAAATGCGCCGGCCCCACCTTGATTACTTAACCTACCCGGAACATCTTTCGTCACGGAGGGTTTAATGATGCTACTTCCTCGATAACTTTCGAGAGTCGATGAACATGTTGCCTGCTTTTCCTTGTTCAGAAATGAAAAGTGCCTTAAAGGCGATGGTTGCGGGGTGGCCTTATATGTTGAAGAGTAAACAGTTCGTGTAGTTGTATTTTCGTTTTGATAAAGGTTAGGCACAACTGGCGAAGAAGAAGAGTTGCAGCGGGGTGTTCCTCTTAATGAATCTTGTGATAGAACACTATACTTTTCTTGAATTTTGGCTGAACTGTTTTCGTTTGAACAACTTTCCATCCGTACGCCTGCAATCACCCCATTTGTATTGTGTTGTCCAAATTTCGAAGGGTCGCGTGCTGAACAGATTGAAGTATTTTGAGGATTTTCAGTTTTCTGTCTTTGCATTGCAAAAGCTGCTTCGAATTGCTGCAAGTCTCCGGGACTTTGAGAGTCAGAAAAACCAACCGGCTGGTTCTGTGCAGACACTAAATTGTCTTGCCTTTGTAAGCCACTTGACTTTTGAACTTTTGAGGTAGTGTGAACAAGGCTGCCAGTGGGCTGTTTAGTTCTTTGTAAATGAGACCAAATTTCGTAGAGTTTTCTAAGCTCATAAACATTAATCCCACTAAATGTTTGTAACCTTGGATCTGCATTTCCTTGACAGTAGGACAACCATTCTTGAAGCAGGTTTTGTTTAAGAATATGCTGGACTTTGTCGACGTTTCCCTGGTACTTGGAAAGAAGATGGTACAGGACATAACGTTCAAACGAAACATGTTCCGAAGCCTTCTTTCTTTCATTTGCGACGGTAGGTGGTTGTATGTCTTTGTCATTAGAGGCAGCTTGGGCGGCTAATCTTTTGATTTGCTCAGAAGCAGATCTGACCATTTGAGAATTGTTCCTCTCAGACTTAGCTTGCGAACCTTTCACTTTAGCAATGAACGCTTTGTTTCTTTCCCATTCGTCTGTATCTTCGCCCTTTTTTGAAATGGAATGTACTGCGACTATTTTTGGCATTGAAGTGTGATCAAACGCGTAGCCCCCATGAGAAGACATACAGTCGCCTTCGATTTCTCTTGGTGCTGGGTCTACTTTTAAAGCTGGCGAAAAAGTCGCCGAAAGTTCAACACTGATTTCTTTAGAACCATGTCCATTGTGAATGGTATTATTTTTTTCAGCATTCGGCTTGCACGTCTCTTTTGTAAAAATAAAATGATCCTGTGGGCTACGTCTGTAATGTTCCAGCCCATTGCTTTCTACTCCTGTCTGTTTCATGAGAGGTGGTGGAGGACGCAACTGCTTTGATGAGCTTCCAATTGACCGATACTTTCCAAACATTTCTTCCTGAAAACTGCTACAGTTTTTGAAAAGTGATGGCGAGTAATTCTCGCCATTGTCTTGTCGTAGTCGCTTCGTTTCTGGTGAAGAGGCATCTGCGTCACTTTGCACCAGAAATCGTTTAAAAGGTCGATGAAGTAGAGGAGGTGGAGTTTCACAAGACACCCGCTCCTTTGAATTTTCTGTTCCATCGCTGATGCTCGTTTGTAAAGTGCTTTGAGCCAACATGATTTGCTTGAAAGAGGACAAGGAATTCGGATCGTTCATGTACTGCTCTAGTAAGCTTTGCATTGTTTTGGTACATGAAGCCCATGAGTCCGCCGTGACACCTGAAGACCAAAACAAAAATTTGTCATATAAATAGAGAGATTTGGAATCACGTTACGGTAAATGGCAAGCGTCAGACTCTCAAGATAAAAATCTGATTGAGAAGATAAAAAAAGTTCGTAACATTTGCATTGGGTAGAACTGGTGTAAATCCACTGATTTCTGTGTAGTGACAAGTAAAGGGAAAACTTGGTCAAGTGGTACAAACTCACGTTTGTCGTTTGACGTAGACATGATTTTAAATCTCTCTAATGCCTTTTCTACCATCATGGAAAATGAGCCAAAACAACCTCCTTCTTTTTGTCACCAGTGTTAGTTATTACGAGCTATCACCCCTACCCTTGCCTTAGTGAAACCAAAGGTACGTACTAATAACGCTTAAATGAGGTCATTAGAAAAAATGATAAAATTCTCCTACAATGGTCTAAGAGGTGAATGCTTATTGCAGTATTATATGCATCAGTTTCAACAAGGCTTAAAACTCGAGATTTCAACATGGCGTAATACACTGGGCGAGAATGTGATGAAGATAAATCGTTTGCTCATCAATTAAACCATTCATTTTAGTCTTACAGTCATTCAGAAATGGATTCATCCATGGCTTAAACTTTTTACTTTAAAAATAAAGGTAGCCAGAAAATCAGTCAGTGACTCAAAGTGTTGTTGAAGCTTTCTTGGGGCGCCGGCCATAGAAAGGAAGTAAAAAATCACCTCGACGCGCATGCGTTTGAAATTACTGTAACACTCACAGCTTTCACTTTTCGCCTGTTGACCAGTTCCCATGTGGAGATGATCGGCGTGGAAGGAGTAGTCACCAGTCTCTCCTTTCAATAGTGAACTGGTACTTAACATGTTTTTGGCTTCTCTTGAGAAGTTCAGAAAGTCAGAAAACGAACTGTAACTCATCTTCCCAAAGTTGTTTTCAATTCACGGTATCTTGTAAAGATGGCACTGTAAGAGAATCAGAAAATCGTTTATAACTAAATTTGTCTTTTTTAATTAGTTCTAGCTAAGGTCGAAATTTTCGGAGAATTCATGAATTAAGCAACAATTATAAGCTGTAATTCTTAACTGCAGCAGGTCTAACTTACAATAGAGGTCAAACTTGTTGGGACCTTTCCAGTAATATTAGTAAAACTAGCCTCCCCTCCCGTTCAACCCCATACAATGTTGAAAATTTAGCACAATGGGATGAACCCAAAGCCGATCAGAAAATTGTCATTAGGAGCAGAGTCCTATGTAACAATTACTTGGAAGGGTTTTTAACACAGTCCTAAGTGCTTTTGAGCTCCACTTTAGGTTAAACTGACTGCTGGTGTGGAAGGTTGCGGGCTCGATCTCTGCAGCTGGGCCAATTCTTAATTCCTTATTCTGGGGAAAAAAGAAGTTTTTCTTTCTAAATGAAACAAAACGTTTATGAAACGTCTATGCTGAATTCATATTATTCAAGCCAACATAGCAGATTTCCTCCTACTGTGCTTCTATAACATCAATGATTATTCAGGTACTTATAATAATAAATTTCATCGCTTAATACTGCGCAAATTAACATTCCAAACATGAACAGATGTGCATTTTACTAAAACTGTAACTTTCAAAGGTGATTAAATTCAAAAATATTGATAAAATGAAATGATTCTCAAGTCTATTAAAAATGAATGCAAAGAATAGAAAATGTATATGTTTCATAGAATTTATTAAAAAGAGGGCAAAATTTACTTGCATCTGGAGTTTCAAAAAAGTACTTTTTTGCAAGCTCAGAAGTACAAAGGTCATTTCATATCTCCACGATTATTAATTATGGCGCGATCTAAGAGAGCAACAAAGGGTAAACACTTTGGGATCTCAAAGTAAACACAAAGACAAAAGATACCAGAGCTAACTGATGACATTGGAGAACATAATCAGATCTTGCATGGAATCAAATTAAAAGAGGTATTGATATTGAAATGGTTGAAAAAATGTCTAAAGCAGGTGATCGTGAGATCGAGAGAAGCTATTTCCTTTGTCAACGACAGCTGTGCTTGACTTAAATTTCAGCTTTGTTGGTAGTCAATAGAGATTTAAAGTCACACGTGACCCAGATTTTCCCTTTACTTGTCGTTTACTATATATTTATTATATCGACACAGAAATAAATTAAGTTTCGTGTCAGGTTCATTCATGATAAATATTTTTGGACAGTTTAATTATATTCAGATCTACTCATTTCCTTACTTGGAAAAATTTTTAACTTGCATCTAGCGCTTGGCATTTGCCGGCAAACATGATTTTCAATCTCATCTCTCTCTTGAGATGTAATGAAACGTTTGTTTGATAGTTATAGTAATCCATGATCATCATCATCATCGCTGTCACCATCATCATAAGAATTATCATAATCAGAAAAGTTAATGATAACCAATTGTAATTATAATTAGGACCATAATCATTTTCCAATGGATAATTATAATCAGTTGCCGACATCGTGACAATGATTTCTTTCTATCAAATTTTAGTTTCTTGCACGAAGTTTGCAAGTTTATTTGAAGATCGCTGAATTTGGAATTTCACTACACCAATGCAAAACTGGCACCATTTCTTTGATTTTTTTGTCTCAGAAAATCTTCAACAAGTCTATTATTTCTTTCAAAGGGTTAAAGCGTGAGCATGTCCGTATCTTTTTAGAGATATTATTTGAATAGGTCTTCTAAAATTCAGCCTGTTGTTGAAAATTTCGAGAATAATATATCATTTGTCCTATAGCAATCAAAGTCACTTACCTTTCCGAATTATTGCTCAGGGCAGATTTGATCAATTAGTCATATTTCAACAAACTACTCAAGGGAAAAATACAGTAAGTTAAGTTAGCTGGTCCAAGTTGAAACAACTGTACAAACGATCTTATTGCTAGGCAAAACTCGCAAGAAATCTCCTTCGCTTTTATGAATTTAACATGATCGCTAGTAGGTAAGATTGGAAAACAAAGGAGAACACTTCGAAGTTTTCAAGTTAACCGAGTCATGACGTAATCGCTGGTATTAACAAATCAGAATTGCACACGAGAAAGAAATACACATTGCCAAGGTTATGTGTGTTCACGCCACGTCTGTCAATTACCTGCAGATTATGTCATTTAAAAAACTTCGCAAACGGTGCTAATTGGTTGAGTGTGACTAGCATAAAATGACCTGCAACATGTACTGGGAGACGCGCGCGGATACTCCTCATAAAACACTCGTTGTGAGAGAAGAAAGGAGAAAAATTACAAGTAGACTTTTTTGAAAAATTTGTTTCACACGTACTCTGTGATAAATTTACATTGTAATTGGCGATAAGATGATAAATAGTTGAAAATGTTTAAAATAAAATGAGTAATTGATATATCTTTCCTTTGCGATCTGGGATTAATTTGCTTACCGTAACTGGGAGCCAGTAAAATAATATATTCATCGCCCAGAGTGCTATTGTCTTTCCCGATATGTACTTACAGTGCCCAGTTCTTCAACGGGAAGCATAGTGGTGTGTGAAAATTTACTTGTTTTTACTACGAATCTTTGCAGATTTGTCTGAGCGGGCTGGTCTACTTCCAAATATCATAGTCAAGACTTCTTCTGTCAGTTCTGCGCTGCTTTTTGCCAGTGAATGACATTTAATTTGGATTAAGGTTTGTTTTATGAATTTAAAACTCATAAGATATTTAACTGTATACCTGTTAAGCTCCAATGGTAATTCCGCTTATCTTGAAATGTTTAGAAATTTCGTTTGTTAGTCTCTGATCATGCAACACTGTTCAGTCACACTTTACTGGTAATGATACCCATGATACCTAGCCTGCAGTCAAAAGGATGAAAAAACTGTAAACTTACGCGCTAATGAAAGCGCGTGAATTAAATATACTCCACCCGTTAATTGGCGGGTGTAAAGGGCGAGCAAAATTGAACAACCTGCAGATTTTTAGTCACCTGGTTATGCAAGTGTAGCATTACATGTTTTTATGTGGTTCTTTGACACACTTTTCAGTTTAGTCACTGACTTATTTAGGTAGATGGCCATTAAAGCCCCTTTTCTCGCATTCTTGCGTCCCAGTATCAGATAACCTGAAAGACCTTAGCATACCTATTTCACTCCGGGAATTAGTGATTACAAAGTTAGACTGTTTTAGCTTTCGAGCCTGAAATATATTAACTTCTATATCCTGGCTCTCCGCAAAAAGATAAAAAGCAATATTAAATTTTTTCTTCACGTGGTGTTAATTGATTGTGCAACTTTCCCATGAGATTTTTTTTAATAACAACTAGTGTTTTTGGTGGCGAAAGCAGTTTGACAGGTCTAGTGTTTGTTTGGCTAGATGCCATATTTCCCCAGACTATATTATCACGAAAAACCATATTCACTTAACGTGAGCCTTGACATTGAAAATCCTTATGCACCTGCTGGCATCCAGGTTTTCTATTTAGCTCGATGCGGGTGGTATAGTGAAGGAAAAAGCCGGATACAGGAGGTTGAAATATTTAAATGTGTAAATCAACGAGTTTCTGAACAGTGTTCCATTACTGAGAGTATTCCGTCATATGACAATTGTTTTTGCCTCGTGAAAGACAAGTCATTTTGATGGGCTTAACTCATAGTGACTCAGTATAACTTAGAGATTAGTGGGAAGAATATCTGTATCTTGATACCGCTAACTAAAAGCTCATTCAGATTACATTAAATACTGATTTCACCGTTTTTTAAAGAAAAATTTGCCTGAAGGAATGTTGAGGTGTGAAAGAGGAAAATCCGAAAAGCTGAATTGAAGGAAGACGTGAAAAACCCTTGGGCCTGGTCCAAACCGTACAGTAACTGTACAGTTTACAGTGCCTTTGTTTCTGGCAGACGAAGATTCCTGACGATGGCTGTAACCTGGGGTATACTCTTAGGAATTCTTGGTAAGGGTGTGCCGCCCAGTTCTCTAAATCCTGACCCTACTTCAGATCAAAACGTGCATGCCATACCCCACAAGCGTTTTCAGACCTGGTCTCTAAAATCCATATTCGAACCTCGTTATCTTGTCCAATTGAAGACAACATATCGTTTTAGTATTTTTTATTCCACTTAAATGTAAATCTAAATAAAAGTTTAAAAATATACGTATATACGCCTTTATGGCTTTCTACACTCGGGTATAGATATTTATACCTAAACAGCTTTATATATGGAATACCCCCCGTGAGGCTGAAATAATTTATCTGCATGTCCAAGTGGCCCGAGTCATATTTCGTTGCGGCAGTGGGACCGGAATAAAAAAAAATCGAAAATGTACTGGTGTGATATTTTAGGTAATAAAGAAAAACATGTCAACCGTATCCCAGCCGCTTTGATAAGCTATAAGATATCTCACCACCAGTTTGTTGTTTTAGTGAACTCAACAAGCAGAAAACTAATCTTGCCATATTTTGAATCACCCGCCATACAGTCGACTCCAGGTAACTCGAACTCTCTATAACTCGAACCTCTCGCTAACTCGAAGCAATTTTCATTTCCCTTCAGATCATTTTCTATATAATTTTACCCTCGATAACTCGAACTCCCGATTAAACTCGAACTTTTTTCTATTTCCCTTGAGGGTTCGAATTATCGGGAGTCGGTTGTGTTCTTTTCGCCCAGTTTGAAATTAACACCGTGAAAAGAGAGATTTTAATCATTGCAATTAAGGTGTAAGGACATCACTCAAACCGCGGATACTCTCGTGAGAAGCTAAGTTGTCCCTATTTGAGAGGTGGACGATTCATTTAATTGACTTTAAGTTGCAGACAAGGGAGTGTAAATCGAAATATAAAATATTAGCAAGTCCACAAAGACAGACCGTTGAGTGGTGCCGGATCTCCCAGTCGTAGACCTGGATCAGTACTAATAATAACTTTTAGAAAATTTAAAACGGCAAA